TTATGCAAATGAGCTCTCGTGCGCATCTCTAGCCCTCCATTGTACTTTGCCGGACCAGGAGTAGGCCAGGCCAGCAGAGTCGCGAGCAAATAAGAATAGCGGACCACGTGATTAGATTGACCAATTAACCTTAAGGTGTCAGGGTCATGGGTCAAAGGGCACGGTGGTGATGACTGAAAAACCCGGTAAGAGACGTCAGTCGATTGCTGGCAGTTGAAGAGTGAGGAGACGTAGAAAACTGAGTTAGAGAGTGAGTAGGGGAGCTCGGAAACGAAGAATAGCGGGCCATTAGGCACCAGGGGCGCCATAGCGAAAGTAGTTCCGACCGGTGGTCCGATAAAGTACAATCTTACCGACTGTTCTTACAATGTTACAAATTAGAAATTAAAGGTGTGTATATCTGCTTACTTGTATCATATTTTTTTAAGCAATGACAATGGCATTTAATTTTGTCCAAATTAATTTAAAGCGACTTAATTTTGAATGCAAGAGTAGGCCTAGATACTGATTCCCTTGACCTCTCGGCGATTGTTAATGGTAAGTATAAGATTCCCACGTTTAATTCTGATGTGCGAATGTGCGTTTTTCAAGGCATGTTTCGCTTTGGCCCGTAACCCTAAGCCTGACCCTAAACACCGGAATTAAATGCGGGAATCTTAACCCTAGAAGCGCTGAGCAGCGTTTCACTGGAAGTAATGCGCCTAAAATGCCCCGCCGCCACGGCCGATCGGTTGTAAACATGAGGGGTAAGGCGGGGGGGATATCAGCTGAGATACACCCAAGATGTGTACCTGCTACTGAAAAATTACCATTTACGGCTCAACAGATGATAAAAGGCACAATAAAAGCATATCTTTTCTCAAAGCTGATAAAATGAGCCATTCAAAAATGATAAGCGATCACAAAGCGCAAAACGCGATAAGCTCAACAATTAGTACTTTAGCACGGCGAAACAAATGATAATACATAGCGCGTAGTCTCTCAGCTGGACAGCGTCACTTTATCGATCAATATCTTGGCCGAGAGACACTTTACGGGGTCAAGATAACTTGCAAAGTCATTGGTCACTATTTATAACTTTGTCCTGTAATTTACTACGTCATTTTCCATATAAGGAATACTGAAATTTTCCCTTGAAAAAGGTCAACGTCTATATGCCCTTTAAATAGGGCCTGCGCGCTTCCCGGTCGAAGTAGGTCAGCCCTATATATAGGGTCTGTGCGCTTCCCGGGTAGCCCGGCTCATGCCCTTTATATAGGGCTTGAGCACTTCCAGGGTTAACAATTGCCGATATCTCTTGTAAAAAGGTTGCCGTTATTCCCAACGTGGGAATATTTATTGTAAGATTTATAGATCTATTATTATTAAGGTTTTCTCTTAAATTCTCACCCCCTTGGCCTTGGTGGGAATATAAAGATATTTTCTCCTCCCCCCCCCCCTCCCCCCCCCGGTGGGAATAGAAGAAAATGTTATTCCAACCGACCAACCTTATCTTGGAGGCCTACCTGACCTAAATGTTGCCATAGGAAGGATGAGAAGTGACCTGACTCGGGTGGGAATATAAAACCCCCCAAAAAATGATTCCCACTCCGTAGGCTACTCACTTCGTAGTAAAAATTCTAACTTCAAAGACCTGTGGTTTTTAAGTACTAGGCAAACCCCAGTTGGGGGACTACCTAGACGCCATGACTACGTAGTCCCCAATTGGGGTGTACCTAGACATTTCCTTTTTTAAATTTAAAATATCCATTGATTTTGAAAAAAATAGGCTAAAATTGTTAGGACTTATTTGTTGCTCCTCTAGATCTCTATCTGTCTAGATAGAGATCTAGATCTAGATTCTAGTTTTTTTTTTTAAAACAGAAGAAAATTGCACGGATATGGCAATTTCCCTAGAAATCTGTAGGCATTGTAGGCCTATGTTTGCATCATGTAGTAGTAAATTTATTATTGAAGTGAAAAAAGCACACAAAACGTACACCAAATTAATTATTGCAGTAAACCTTTAAAACCATTGCCCGACTGATAAAAACAGTGAGACGATGTTTCAGATACTTGAGCTAATGACCATGTGTATTGTTTATATGCTAATGAGATTCAAACTGACATAAACAATCTGTAAACGTAGAACACCTGGTGACCATATATATATCTTTGGCTCTAATTAAAATAGAGCATAAAAACTGGTTGTTGGTGGAAAGGTTATACCCACTGAGCAGCACAGGGTCATTAAAAAGCATTTCTGTCTATTTTACACTGCAAAAGCTATAACATAGGAATGTTGCATTATTTGTACTTTTATGTAGATTGACTTGAGAGTCTATATAGATGAAATATCTGGTCTTTTTATCTTAGGGTTACCCTGATCATGATCTGTTTCTGGGGTAGATTTGCTGATTTTTCGTAGTATGAATACCCCAGCATCTCTATAAGTTTTATATAAGCCTAAGTGTCAAATGCAAAAACAATTCATTTTAACATTTATTGGCTTGAAGTCACTACTCTCACGAAAGGAAGAATTTCATTTGGGGAAGAAAATGGATGTCAGGTTAGGTTTTGATGGATTGTGATCTCCTAATTTAATAGAACAAATGGTGCAGTTTAAATGGAAAATGAGCCTATATATATATATAATAAATGTATTTAAATGGACTCAGTGGAGAAGACAAAGTAGGTTTACTTTTTGGTTTTGGGGGGGGGGGGTTTGTATTGTTTGTTTACACAAGTATTAATAATCTCCCTGCGAGATGAATAAAGATTGTCATTGTCATTGTATTTTTGAGGTCGGGGGAAGGCAGTGTTCGGTTGTTGGTTTGTCTCTTTTGACAAGTGAAAGGAAGAGCAAAAAAACTGAATTGCTAGAATCGTTTTGTTGTGGGCCCAAATAGCTGACGCTGACACTTTCTAATAATAAAGTATTATCTTATAATCTTGTCTTAACATGCCTAGACATTACTTGCCAGCTGGGGATATATTATATTGCTTTACCCATACCCCTCCGATCCTGTGTGGCAGGGAGGTGAATTTTTATCCTTCTTTTCACTATTCTGATTTCCTTCAGTTACAGCTCACTGCACACTTAGAGCCTCACTTCTTTTTTTAGCCTCTTTGTTATATTAGTTATATATGTCCCCCTTCAGAAGAGTATGAATGCTACAACATAATGAAACGTTGTAGGGAAATGTACGAAATTAAGGATCACTGAATGAAAGAAAAATTAGCTTTTCTTTTCATCATGGCTTTGACTTTGACTTTGAGTGTGATAACTGTGTGCATGCTGTGTAAATAGGCTGTGGCTTTCCTTGTTATAGTTTACTACAACTTGATTGTTTTGAGAAGACTAAAGACTAAGGAAGTATTGTTAACTTTTTTTGTTTTGTTTTACAGAAGTGAGAAAAAACAATGGGTTGTTGGTCTTATGCTTGGGACATCAATGCTCTATGCTGCCAGGACCATCATGCCTCTGTGCATTGTTTCCACCTCCCAAGAACTGGGCTGGGATAAAACAGAATCGGTGAGTATATCCTCGTAATTCTTGCACATGTTTCATTGGGATATTTTTGGGTAATATCATGAGAATTTTAGAAATACTGTCCAATTTCATTGACCATAACCCCCCCCCACCCCCCGTTTTTATACTGTTGTATCTTCATATTCATAAAGATATGAATATTAATTCATGTACATATTGAATTGTCTGTTGTAATAACTTCAGGTTTTGTGGTTTGTTCAACACCACTATGTTGCATTCCCAGGTGTTTGTGCCATTAGACAATTTTTGTTTTTTGTAAAATAAAGGAGACATATAATTATAATAACTATGGTACACAACTTTTAGTCAGAATGTGAGTTAGATTTAACAATGTTATGTACAGTTATCGTGCAGTCTTCTCCTATTTTGTGTTAAAGCTATCAGACCAAACCATCAATGATTTATTTATAGAGGCACCAGCCATCCATGTCCAGGTGCTGTTTTAGCCTCTTTTTCCTGTATTCGGATTAATAATATCTTTTTGCCAATTTATTGGTTCCGCTTCTATGTAGCCCATATCTATGGTTCTCAACCTGGAAATCGCCTATAATTCGCTGTAATTGTTTCCCCTTGCTATTAATACAGATCCATCGATGGAATCTTTTCATGTATTGCGTGTTCCCTCTTGAAACGCTATTATTAGACTTGGTCTTTTAAAATGGTATCCTTTCCTTCCTTCAGGGGACAGTGCTGTCTTCCTTTTTCTGGGGCTACACGATGACTCAGTTCCTTGGTGGCTACCTGAGTGACCGTATTGGCGGGGACATTGTGCTGCCCATCGCGGCCTGCATGTGGTCTCTCATCACGTTCTGGACGCCGCAGCTGGCCTATTTGTCGACCGACAAACACATTTCTCTTTACATAGTGGTGCTTTCACGAGTTTCTCTGGGAATCTGTCAAGGTAACTCTATTATTTATTATTACAAAAAGGGAGTCTATAGTTTGCAGTGTTATAGCTATAGCACTGACGTGTGTACACATATTCATGAAAAAGTTTAGTCTTTCAAGTGCGGGCACATACACATATTTGGACAATTAAAAAATCCTTGTTCTTTGTTACCCTAAAAGTAAAAGGTACTAAAACCTTGTATGGATTTCTGACTTCCAAATGAAACCTTTTAATTTGTTTGAAAACAAGCATTTTATTAAAAAGGGGATCTTTGTGAGCTGTTTGGAATTTGTTACTTTTTTGAGTTAACCCCTTCCTGTTTTTCCCAGGAGTGCCCATGAAAAGGGATCCCCCAATAATTGTTTTCTAATTTACATAAGTAATCCATGTCTTGGCATTTTTTTTGTCTATTGAACTGCAGGTTGTGTACAGTTAACCATCTAGCAGGGAATTTCAGTTTTTGGAGATAGAATCACAGGAATTTTTTATTGGAAGAACTGGTATTAATTATGATATATAGTCTGTGTTCCAAGGGTTTGAAGTTTAGGTTTTAATCATCACATAGAAGATTACTTACAGAATCCGAGATTGGTTTCTTACTTGTCTGTTGAAAACAGTATTAGTTTGAGATGAGTGGGCACTCAATTCATGTAGGGCTTACTATTTTTTTTTTTTTAAATTTGTTTCCAGGATTTCACTACCCAGGGATGACGAGTATTATATCCCGTAAAGTCAACGAGCAGGAGCGCTCTCTCACCTACAGTATGGTGGCATCAGGCTCTCACATTGGGTAAGAATATTTCACCTCCCTTAACCTGTTCTGTGTGGGTGGTTGGTGGGTGCTCTGGTGTGGTTTGTTCCTTCTTTCCTACCAAACATCTATTGTCCTGATCTCTCCTTTTTCTTTTTTGTGTTTGTTACTCTCTTGTAACACCTCTAATCTTCGGCACTTATATGACCTTATTGTGTTGCAAGTGCCGTAAAACTTACTAAAACTGAAAACTAACCTGTTCAGTGTGCTGTTGTTGTACACTGTACATCCTGAAAATGGGGGCTACTCTACGTTGTTTGACATACTCCGTACATCAAATTTTTGTTCTGTGAATATCACCAGCTGATGAATTATTTAAGATTATGAAGTCAATGATAGAATAACTCTTTCTGTGTAGGGGTGCTGGAGAGGATCCAGTAAGGCAAGGGTTGGTTGGTCGGTGCTTTTCTAAATGGACGCCTCTTGTTGGTGTTCTTTGGAATAATGAGGTTTTGGTCTTGTTTTTCCTCTTGTTTTGATGTAGTCTCTACTTGTGCTCTTTATAGCATATATTTTTTTTTTGTTTACTCTTTTCACAATTTGGTGGATTATGATACTTAAGTATATGTTTTTAAAATGTATTTAGTTAGTAACACTCATATTTGAAGAGCCGTTGACAAGCTGGGTATAGCTACTAATGTCTTGCTTTCATTTCCATACTCTGTTTCAGAACACTTCTTACTGGCAGTGTAGGTTCTATACTCATGGATAGATACGGTTGGCAGTTTCCATTTTACTTCATAGGTATGTCTTATTTTTCTCTTTTCTTACGAGTATGAATACTTTTGTATTTAGATGTTCTGTTCTGTAAGAATTTATGACTGTGTGAATTCATCAATGTGTGCGAGGGTGTCTGGGTAAGCTTTGTGGGATTGTCTTTACTCAAAGATGTACTAGAAAGAGAGAGAGAAAGAGAGAGACAGAGACAGAGTGAGACTAGTGAGAGAGAGAAAGAGGATTACTATATGAGCTGTTCGCTCTATATGTTCTTTGTATTATTGTACAGCGCATTGAGCACTTCTTTGTGGAAATGTGCTATATAAATGCAATTTATTATTAGATATAAGTTTTGCATGTGAATTTATTTGAAAAAGAACTCTCTCTCTCTCTCTCTTCTGGCGCTGTGGCCTTATAAACGGTCAGCGATGCCGGCAGCACGCAGGAACTCAACAGTAGCTCGGGGGGTCCTTGAAAAGTGCTGGGAGTGGGTTACTGAAATGTCCCAGAAAAAGAAATGTCAAGGAAAGATTTAGGAAATAGATAACATTGATGGAATGTGATGGAAGCTTCTCTGTTGGTAACCTTATCATACCGTATGTTTAACTAGAAACAGCTCTAATCTTTGGCACTTTTATGACGTAATTGTGTTGCAAGTGCTGTAAAACTCTTACTAAATCTAGTGGGTGGTTGGCGGGTGCTCTGGTGTAGTTTGCTTCTACTGTCCTATCAAACAGCTTATCGTCTTTATCACCCCTCCTTCTTTTTTGTGTTTGTTACTCTCTTGTGATACCTCTAATCTTCGGCACTTATATGACCTTATTGTGTTGCAAGTGCAGTAAAACTACTACCCCCAAAAAAATATAAAAATTTACTAAAACTAAACTAAACTCCGTCCGTGTGCTGTGTAGGTTTGTGTGGGCTGACCTGGATGCTGTTGATGCGCTACATGCTCATAGCCAGGCAGAGGAACAAGAGTGTTGTGGTGTCTTTAGCCGATGCTCCCTTACCGGATCTTGCCACGTCCAAAGACAAACCAGAGACCAGATCTTCAGTGCCGTGGATTCTTCTGTTCACAAAGCCAGCGTTTTGGTAAGAGTAAAACAGTTGTGTGATAAAGTGCAAATGGGTTTGCGGGTGGTTCGAGGGCGCTTTTGGTATGTCCTTTCTCTTTTCTTGTTGTTTCTGTCTCTTTTTCATGTTGTTTTATTTAGCACAAAATCAGATAGCTATTATATGGTGATGTGTTTTTTTTATGCAAGCAAATTAAAAAAAAAAAAAAAAAGAAAGAAAAGCAAGGAGGTTTTTTGGTGGGTAACCTTTTCATCAAACATTAATTACAGGAACCTCAGAAAATTCAGTCAACACAACCTCTGTTTTTCTGTGCGAGTGCGAAATTAAAGGCATTGTGTATGACATTTATTTTTGTCACCCACTCTACTTACTGTGCTTCATAAGACAACAGGTAAACTTGATTGTTCATTCACAGATAGTTTTTTTTGGGGGGGGGGGGGGGGGGGGGGGTTGGACAAAACATAAAATCTTTGACATGAATGGTTTCCGTTTTGTGTAGTAAAAAACTTGTGATGGTTTGTCTGTCAGTGCGACTCCTGCTTTACTCGCAATACACTCTCAGAAGGGACTTTATTAATTATTGATATCGTCACTGGCTTCTTTTGTTTCCTGCACACTCCAGACTGCTAAATGGCCTATTTGTGTCTAACAGGGTACTTAAATGCTACAAAAATAAAACAAATTTTGATATTGCTTTCTGATTATTGATGCTATTGCTAATGGTGATGTTTTCATCATAATGAGTAGTAAGAGATGACAATTGGTCACTTGCTTGTGGGTGGTTGGCGGGTGCTCTGGTGTGGTTTGCTTCTTCTTTCCTATCCAACATCTATCGTCCTTATCTCCCCTCCTTCTTTTTTATGTTTGTTACCCTCTTGTAACACCTCTCTCTAATCTTCTGGCGCTCATATGAACTTATGCAATTGCAAGTGCCGTAAAACCTCTACTAAAACTAAAAGAGCACTCCCTTGTCAGGGTGGTCAGTGGGTGCTGCGGTGCGGTCATCTTCTACTTGCTTTCTGAGCTACTGACCACTTTTGTTGCTCCTGATCTGTCTCTCTGTGACAGTCGTGGTGTGGACTCGCCATAATCTGTTGTAGCTCAACTTGGCTTGCCTTTAAGCCAGTAGTTTCTTTATTGTTTTTATTTTTAAGTGCATCAAGCTAATGCTCTAATTTTCTTGTTGCTTTGCGATTGTGGAATTGATGGAAGGTACAACGGTGTGGTCTGTGTCTTCTTCTTTTAGTTTGTTTTGTTTTGCCTAGTGTGTGTGCACCTTTTTTTTTGGGGGGGGGGGGGGGGGGACAGGTATAGGGATGTTGAGAGCAAATGTTGCTGTAAAGATTTCTGTATTTTCACAAATGTGATAGGCGGTAATTCTACTAGAAAGGATCCATCACTTTGGGATACAGTTTCTTCCCCTCTGTTTTTTCTCTCTTTCTTCCCCTCTGTTTTGTCTCTCTTTCTTTCCCTCTGTTTTGTCTCTCTTTCTTCCCCTCTGTTTTGTCTCTCTCTTTCTTCCCCTCTGTTTTGTCTCTCTCTTTCTTCCCCTCTGTTTTCTCTCTCTTTCTTCCCCTCTATTTTCTCTCTCTTTCTTCCCCTCTGTTTATTTTCTCTCTCTTTCTTCCTTTCTGTTTATTTTGTCTCTCTTTCTTCCTCTCTGTTTATTTTCTCTCTCTTTCTTCCCCTCTGTTTTGTCTCTCTTTCTTCCCCTCTATTTTCTCTCTCTTTCTTCCTCTCTGTTTATTTTCTCTCTCTTTCTTCCCCTCTGTTTATTTTCTCTCTCTTTCTTCCTCTCTGTTTTTTCTCTTTCTTTCTTCCCCTCTGTTTTGTCTCTCTTTCTTCCCCCCTGTTTATTTTCGCTCTCTTTCTTCCCCTCTGTTTTGTCTCTCTTTCTTCCCCCGCTGTTTTGTCTCTCTTTCTTCCCCTGTGTTTTGTCTCTCTTTCTTTCCCCCTGTTTTGTCTCTCATTCTTCCCTTCTTTCTTCCCCTCTGTTTTCTCTCTCTTTCTTCCCCTCTGTTTTTTCCCTCTGTTCATTTTGTCGCCTTGTCTCCACAGGTCTCTGTTAGTGGGCCATTTCTGTGAGAACAATGCCTTTTACATCTTACTCTCCTGGATGCCTACTTACTTTCATGAAAATTTCCCCACAGCTAAGGTAAATGGTCGATGGCATGGACTCTTGGCGTTGTCTTTGTGTACGCATTAACCTTTGTCGGTATTTTGAAGGGAACTTTTTTTTTCTGGACTCTGTTGTTGTTGCTTTTTTTCTTGTGTTGAACTCTCCGAGCAAAGGCTGTGTTGTGCTTTGATCATTGGAGACCTGAAAGAGTATCTTTTGCTAACTGTACTGTGGATTGTGTGGATTGTGAATGGGGCATCGTGTTGTATTTAGTTTAGAGGTTAATGCCTGTGATTAATCCCTGGTGTTTTGGTTTAGACGTCATATTGTAGTATGCTTGATACTAAAGTCAGTACTCCGTGTCACAAGCTGAGTATATAAACATTTTTTTTTAAAGCACTAACATTCTCAAATTCCTTTCCTTCTGTGTGTTCACAAATATCCATAGATACTAAAAGCAGAGGTCTAAAGCTTTGACTCTCATAGGGTTTTAGGGGATTTTTTTTGCTTGCTTAATGGAAGGAAATGTATTAGCGTAGATGTATTTGATAGCGTCGAAGCACAATTTTGCTGCACGTGGGATCCTTACTGTGTGCTTACGTTACGTTGCTGAATGCGAAAGAGTTACCCTTGGCGTGAAGGAAGCCTGTCACCCTGAGCTGACCCTGTGAAGGACGTCACTTTGTTATTGAATCAGTGTACAGAGCCGGAGAATACTGAAAGCTTCCGTCCCCCACTGCTGTGTTTGGGCCAGTGAGAGTTGTCCTCTCTCTCTCTCTCTCTCTCTCTCTCTCTCTCTCTCTCTCTCTCTCTCTCTCTCTCTCTCTCTCCCTCTCTCCCTCTCTCCCTCTCTCCCTCTCTCCCTCCCTCCCTCCCTCCCTCCCTCCCTCCCTCCCTCCCTCCCTCCCTCTCTCTCTCTCTCTCTCTCTCTCTCTCTCTCTCTCTCCTGCCTGTTTGTTTGCAAGGTTTTCCTTCCTCCCTTCCTTCACAGGGCTCTGCTTGTCGGACACTTCTGTCATGCCTACTCCTTCTTTGTGCTTCTCTCATGGCTGCCAACCTACTTTCATGAGAACTTTCCCACTGCCAAGGTAAGGAGAGATGGGGCTTTGGCGGCGGTGCACTTTTTTTTTTTTCGTTCTTTATCTTAACATACTCTGACAATCCTCTGTGTCTGAGTGCTTTTTGTGTCCCGTTTCTCTCTTTTAGTTCTTTGTATAAGATTGCTTGGTTCTCAGGCTGTTACCACAGGAATTAAATACAGAACACAAAGTTACTGAAAACATTTTGTTTGCAAACCCAATTTACATATATTCCTTTTGGTTCTGGAAAAAAAACCCACAGTCGAATAGTTGGCAGACGTAAATTGTGAAAATCCCGCTTGGTTGAGAATCATTTTATTTTGAAAACGGCATAACCGTGCCGGAAAAGCAATTTGCATATTGATTTTATAGAAGAGCAGGTTTTATCTTATTTCAGTCACATAGAGAGTTTTAAAACATTTTGTGAGCTTCATCGAATGGTCAAGAACACTGAAGATTGAAGATAAAGAAGAATCCCCATTTTAAAAAAAATATTGAAGGAAACATTTTTGGACAGCAGTAGGCTTGAACACATGTATGGGTTTTGATGAATGTCATTTTATGGGATAGATGAGAGTGTATTTTGTCACTACGCTAGTAGAAATACCACAAGTCAGAGTTGTGCCAAAATGCGACTGGCCTTTTATTTTGTTTGGTGGAACTACATTGTAGATCTATATCTATCTTTTGGTAAAATCAAAACAAAATGCGCTGGCAGTCACAGAAGAACCATTATTAGATGATAAATAGCGTAGTTCAACAGTTTTTTCCTTTCATTTCAACAAAAGTGAAATGTGGCATTTTACTAGCGTAGTGACGATTTGTTTTGGAACCTCTTGCAAAAGGTGATTAAATTAGTAAACTCTCCGTGTATTTGTGATAAATTCTCACAGCAGTGGTGAGAAGAGAAAGAACAGCTGTTGAGCTGCATAATTCATCTGCCAGCTGTTCAGTCGTAATGTGTGGTGTTGGTTCTATGTACGTAATAAATATGTTGTCGAAATTGAAATTCCAAACTTTAAAAAAAAAAAAAAAAAGCAAAAAAAGATGCATAACGTAGGTACAAGCATTAAGAGGAATGAAACAGTTTTGTCCATCTCTCCTGGAAAATTTAGCTTTCTGGGCTTAACACATTTGAACAGCTTGCCAGCAAACTTATTCTCTGTCAGCTGTTTCATTTTTTTATACTTTCTTTGTGAAAAAAAAGTTCTTCAGAACTTCATTTATTTATTTCCCTATAGTTTGTAAGGGGGGGGGGGGGGGGTATTATGAGATTGTTTGATACTGAGACTGATTTTGGCTTATAGTAAAAAGTTCATCTGCGTTTTGATCAATTTTAAGTACAGATTAACACAAAAGTAACAGCACAGCCTTTGCCTTGCTTTTGTGTGTGGCTTTCCCCAACCGTTTTGTTTCCTTTATGCTATTCGTGTGCAGTAGTAACCATTATTAGTAGACTGCTTTTGTTGTGGTGGCAGATGTTACGCTTTGCGACACAGAGTAGATTTTGTCAAATGTACATTGAAGTTTGGTGGCAGGTGGTAAGTATGTAATGTGGCGGCGAGCGTTTGTAGACACGTTTTGTGTGAACAGGTAGATGGGCAACGTATTATGTATATTATAAATATTTATGAGCTGTAACAACCATTTGCATATTGGCTTGTGTGCTTTTTAAAAAATTAGGTTTGCTTTGTTTGTGTGTCTGGTTCTGGGTACTAACATAGTTTACATATTAGAGTTGATCCTGTTGTAAAACGCTTCTTAGTCTGAATTAACTTAAATGCTATTATGCAGTTGCGAGTGCCGTAAAACCTCTACTAAAAAAAAACTTAAATGCTCTACTAACTTTATGATCGCCAGTCTAATTAATAGAGCTGAATATGCTGTAAAATGCTCATTTGACTGAATTATCTTATAAGCTTTCTTTTCAGGATAGATTGATCCTTTAGGAAGCTATTTTAGTTAGTGTGGATTTGATTGGATTTCGGGAAACTTGTCAGTTTAGAGCAGTGAGCACATTTTGTATTTCATCAGATACAATTTTTTTTTTACACCATGCATATTTTCTCATTTGGTGCTGTGGCTTTGAATTGTTGCATGTGCATAGTTATTTTAGTTTCCACATCCTTAGATTATTCATATGCTTTGAATCAAAGTTTGACTGTAAAGCTTGTATTTGTTTTCTTTTCTGGAATTTACTATCCTTATGAGGGCACTTGTTGTTTTTTTTGCTTTTGGAATGAAATAAGAAATTTGAATGTCCTCACGTGTGGTGTCTACTTATTTCCCCTGATCTCAAATGATTTTTTTTTGTTTTGTGCCCTGGTTATTCTTATACTAAATGCTAAAACTACATAAAATCGAATTAGCAAATCAGTTGGAAGGGAGGTATGTGGGTAATTTATTCAGTGTTTACGGCCTGACCCACGTCTCATAAAACGTCCCGATTTTACAGTTGTAAGAGACTGTCGTGAAACAGCATAAATTATAAATGACACACATATCAATAACTTTTTGAACACATTTTGTGTTGTCTGTCGTAAAATAGTACAAATTGTGCTTGTGCCTTTTTTCGCTGGTGAAACATTGTAGATTTGTATCACTGGTTTGAGTTTGGAAGGGAGGAATGAATAATTACCGTTGATAGGCAAAGCTCGAACAGTAAAATATGGTGGGAAGTTCATCTTCAATTTCATGAGACTAAGGATTAAGTTTAGAAGCTTGTGAACAGCAAGTGTAATTTTGAACAGGGACTTTTCAGCTTTCTGTTCTGGCTTTTCTGTAGAGAGGTGAACTGAAGTGTCTTTAGGCCATTCCCAAAGGGGGGGACATTAACATGTTCTTATGCACAGTAGAATTGTAAATGGGCTGATTGATCAATGTCATACTCATACTGTGCGGGAATGACAAAGGATTTACTGCTGCTTTTTATTTCCTGATCCTTTCTACTATTATCATTTTCCTCTACTTCTTTTGTATGTTGGTCACTCTCTTGTGAACTGCTGTTTCCGGGGTGCCTTGATAGTCAAAGCAGACTTTGTGCTGTTGAGGCTAGAGAGGTGAGCAGAGTAAGCCTGATTCCCCGTTTGGACTTCTCTGTTAACATCCACCCCTTGGCACTCATATGACCTTATGCAGTTGCGAGCGCCGTAAAACCTTACTAAAACTAAGAGAGACAGACACTTTTAAAGAAAACAGCATTTTGTGTGGAGACGGGGAAAATCCCTGAAAAAGTTGGAATTCTTGCTGTTTTGTTTTGTCCTGAGCATCTATAGAAACAGAAGTAGTGCCACAGTTTGTTTAGCATGCTAGCATGTGTGGTCATTATCTGATGACTGATAAATCTTAGGAGCATAGTAAAAGTTGGCATCTTTGCTTAATGGCTTGGTTGGTTTGCATTGTTTTAGTGTGCTTTTATGTATCTAAATCAAGACAGTTTTAAAAAATGGATGAAATTTAAATGTAAAAGAATCTCCCTCATTTTAAAAGAAGACAAATTTATATTTTGATGCTCATTCTGTCTTCATGTTGTCAGCTCATCCTGATGAATACTGTGTGCTTTATAAATAGACTTCCTCATTGCAATGTGTGTTTTTGTAATCATGAGAGCTCTATTTTAATTTATTAAAAAAGAGTACGTAAGCAGTATTCTTATTGCTCTAAGCCAGTGTTTGCCAACCTGGGTAATATCGTCCACCAATGGGCAATTTGGTTATTTTGGAGGGAAATGGGGATGGCGGGTGCACTGTGGTGGTTAGCTCCTTCTTTCCTATCAAACGTCTATCGTCCTTATCTCTCCTCCTTTTTTTTTTTTTGTTCTTTTTATCTATTTGGGGAAAATGTTACCATGCTGAGGACTCTAGAAGTATGAATCAGTTAGCAAATAAAGCACACAGTTTGGTTCTCTTGTTCAATTTGTCCACACTTTACTGTATTGAATGATTGTTTTTTTATTCCTGTATCTCCCCTCAGGGCTGGGTGTTCAATGTGGTGCCATGGGTTGTGACAATACCCAGCTCTATAGGCAGCGGGTGGCTGGCGGACAAAATGATCAGCAGTGGTACGTTGGTTTCCTTTGCTTTTTGTTACTTTTTTGTTAATGCATCTCAGACCGAAGGGCTAGAACCCAAATGGCCGCTGGATCGGAAAAGTAAAGTAAAGTAAAGTAAAGTAAGTTAATGCCTCTTGTCAAAGATTGTTCGTAACAAGATTGTTCACTCGGCCAAAAAGGTCCGTCCGCGCATTGCTTCAGATGGTGCTGCAGTCTTTGTTTTGAAGCTCGACTCTTTCGTTTCTCCAGAAGAGGAATAGGAATAGCACAGTTTGTTAGTTTCACTTTTTTTTTTTTCACACAAGTAGGGTTACTTTGTTCACAAAGTCCGCGTTTTTTCGAAGAGGGCACCACGGAATTTTGAGGGCACTTTTAAAAAAATATATTGGCTCAAAGAGAGGAGTGAACTATCTTGTTATACACAATCTTTGATCTCGTTAAGTTTTTTTTTAGCGTTTGGTGAAGTAGTCTGAACTAGTCTGACTGGTCACCTTCCACGCTTGGGTTATTCTTTAAAAATGCTTACAAGATGGTTAGTGGGTGGTTGGCGGGTGCTCTGATGTGGTTTGCTTCTTCTTTCCTATCATACATCTATCATCTTCATCTCCCCTCCTTCTTTTTTGTGTTTGTTACTCTCTTGTAACACCTCTAATCTTCGGCACTTATATGACCTTATTGTGTTGCAAGTACCCTAATACTCTTTTTTTTTTTTTAAACCCACGAGATTGTTTAAACTGGTATGCTGGCTAGTACTTCTATTAAATACCATGCAATAGTTATATTATACAGTTGTTGTTTGTTGAATTCTTATCCATTTGAAACACTTTATACTTGACAGTACAGTATCACAAGGTTAATTTAGGTTCAAGATGTTTGTTTTTCTTGTAATTATATTTTCTGTTTTCTAATCTTAAAATTATTTTTTTTTAATAATAATATACTGAAACAAACTTTTAAATCAATAGATTTTATTTTGGGGAAAATTTTTATTTCTCTGTTTTCAGGTTATTCTGTGACCTTTGTGCGGAAGTTCATGGAAGTAAGTCTGGATTTATATAATTCGTTTTGGTCATGATTGAGAGTTTAAAATGTTGGTTTTAACACTTTGCCACCTCATCCCTCCGATTGGCGATGTTTACCTCCCAGTTTCCGTGGACTTTCCCCAAAACGCCTTTGCCTTTGATGGCAAGAGTTTTCACTATATGAGCCTTGTGATGGCAAAGTGTTGAAGGACATCGAGGAAGGAAAAGAGTACCGGTATGGTTTTGGTGTGAAGAAAACAGCAAGATTTTAGGAAGAAGAGAACACAGTGAGGCTTAGGGTTTGGGCCTGACATGGCACTGATGTTGAGTTGGGAGCTGGAGACAGAGATAGACCCAGTGAAGAAGAGGGCTGCTGGGTGGGTTTAGATTAAGATTTGGGTTTTGTGCCTCTTTTCGAAGTACACTTAGAGGTGTTAAGTTATTCAAGTTGGATTTAATTTGTGTCTGAAGCAACGCTGGTTTTAGAAAAATTTAAAGTCATTACAGATTTCTACAAACCCCTTTCAGAATTAAAATGTGACGTTGATAAAGAATTGTTGGACGTTATATGTTTCTTCCTCTATGTTTCTTTTTGAAATAGACACATCGTCTTCAAAATGTGTCTGAGACTTGCATACTGGTATCTAAGACCCAAGCTCAATTCTTGTCGGGGCAGAATTTTTATTAGGTATCTTGGGTTTTTTTTCTGGAATGTTGTATTCTCTCTCAGATCGTGTGGACCCTGACAGTAGGATCAAAGCCCGCCTCTGTGTCAATAGGGGTGTAAAATCGCCCACATTAAGAAAATAGTAATGAGACTTGCGTTTTATCTTACTATCAGGTAAAAACGCGTACGTTAAGAAAATAGAAATGAGACTTGCGTTTTATCTTACTATCAGGAGTCGCGAAAAATGTTGATTTTTTTTACCGCAAACTTCCCCAGTCGGTAGTTGGTGGGTGCTCTGGTGTGGTTTGTTCCTTCTTTCCTACCTATCAAACATCTGTCGCTCTTATCTCCCTTCCTTCTTTTTTGTGTATGTTACTCTCTTGTAACACATAATCTATTCTTCGCCACTTATTATATGACCTTATTGTGTTGCAAGTGCCGTAACACTCTTACTGGCGCTCACATGACTTTATGCAGTTGCGAGTGCCGCAAAAACCCTCTACTATTAAACCAAAAAAACCAAACTCACTAACAAAATACTTCCAAAAACTTCCCCAGTCGGTGGCTCTGCTGGGGACAGCGTTCTTCCTGTTCATCATCTCGTACACCAGCAGCTACACCAGCTGCCTCATCTGCCTGGCCCTGGCCGTGGCCTGCTGCGGCTTCCACAACAGCGGCATCCTGGTCAACCCGCAGGACATCGCTCCCAAGCACGCCGGCTCCGTCTTTGGTAAACGCTCGACCGATTGTGGGTGGTTGGTGGCGGCGGGTGCTCTGGTGTGGTTTGCTTCTTCTTTCCTATCAAACATCTATCGTCTTTATTTCCCCCTTCTTCTTTTTATGTTTGTTACTCTCTTGGAACACCTCTAATCTTCTGGCGCTCACATGACCTTATGTGGTTGGGAGCACCGTAAAACCTCTACCAAAACTAAAACTTGATCAATCAGATTTTTTATTTTAAAAAAGAAATGCTTAACACTTACAGTACCGTCGTGGCCAGGCTGTAGTATGTGCCCACTACCGCTGAAGTCGCCGACGCAACCAGGCACACTTAAGTATAATTAAACAACGAGTGGACACACTGCTCTGAAGTAAGTACCAAAGGAAGTCACTCTATATGACAGCTGAGTGGTTGATGAACCTCTATGAATTTTTAAAGAGTGCTTCTCAGGCTGCCGTGGTTGTTTATTATTTTTTTATTTTAAAAGATTCTACCTCGGCTTCAGCGATCTAAACTGGTGCGGTACTTGAGGGTTTTTCACTATACGAGCCTCTGGTACTGTAAGTGTTAAACAATACTGTGGAAATTTTCTTGAAAGGCTACCCAGGTGAGGATAAAAGTGGCCTTCTTTGACAGGTAGATATCTTACCCAAAGTCATTGTTATATTTAAAAATAAAAAAAGGAGGAAATAAAAAATTGTGGTTTGTACAGATGATTGTCTTATACAGGTGGCCATTCAAGCAGGTTCGACTGTATCTCCATGAATAAACCACTGGTCAAAGATCCAATCAATGAGTTGAGGAGGGGAGATCAATCCATAATCTTCCAACTTAGAACACAACATGTACCCCTCAACCAACATCTCAACCGAATTGGAGTAAAGCAGTCTGCTGCCTGCCCACTATGTGACTACCCCTCAGAGACAGTGGAACATCATCTGTTCTTCTGTAGAAAACTAACTGATATAAGGGGATGTTTTCTTCCCAAGCTACCCCACACATCTAATTGCCTCTACTCCTCAAGACAACAGTTAGAACAAACATGCAACTATTACCGAATGGCATCATGCAGAAGAGTTAACGCTCAAATGCTACTGGATCGCTAACAACAACAACAACAACAACAACAACGCACTGAAATCTTGACCTTTCTGTTGTTGTGTTGCGTTGCGTTGCGTTGAAAATTTGTTTCTAAAAGAGGGGGGGGGAGAGAGAGAGAGAGAGAGAGAGAGAGAGAGAGGGAGAGGGGGGGGGGGGGGATATTTTAGAAATAGATTTGTTGTAATGAAGTAATTTTCAGGAGGGTAAATGGAATTTGGTTGTGTGTTTTCCATCAGTGGGAATCAGTGCCTTTGCTATTTTTCTTTATCTTTATAGTGCATCAAATTCTCAGAGAGGCATACTGCCAACCAATACAAAATCTGTGAAAATCAATCTGGTGTTGATATTTGTTACTGTGGTTTCTCTCAGTGTCGGTGAATTTGCAATTTCTCAACATGTTTCAGATTGTCGTGAAAAAAAAAGGTACTTTAGTGTTAACTTAATATTTTTTCTTTTCTTTTCTCAAGGTATCATGAACATGGCTGGTGCAATTCCAGGTGAGAAGTGTGATCCTTTGTTGGAAATTGTTTCTCTTGTACAAGTGCAGAACAGCCATGTGCCCTTCTCTCTTCAGTTGTTCTTGTTTGTCATTGAGGTTGTTTTTTTTTATAGTAAGTGATAACTGGTTTGCTGATTAGTATTTGTTGTAATGACAGACTTTAATTACTTACATTTTCATGATTTGAATTACATGATCTGATTATTTGAAACAGTTGGTGTTAGTGTTTATTACCAGAGTTGTTATATTTGTGCTGGTGGTTGAAGGATAATTGCGGGTGGTTGGCGGGTGCTCTGGTGTGGTTTGCTTCCTCTTTCCTATCGGATATCTATCGTCCTTATCTCCCAATCTCCCATTCTTCTTTTTTATGTTTGTTACTCTCTTGTAACACCTCTAATCTTCTGGCTCTCATATGACCTTATGCAGTTGCGAGCACCATAAAACCTATACTAAAAAAAAAAGAAAAAAGAAGGATAGTTGGTATATCGTTCTCCATTTGTTGGCCTCAATTGTTTCCATCTACCTTGCTCTTTTCGTGCACTAAACGACCGTTGTTGTGTTTTACTCACTAAACAACTCATGTTTGCTGCTTTGGTTTTTTGTCCAGGTTTCGTCGGGGTGTACATCGCCGGCCACATACTAGAGACGACCAAGAGCTGGAACGCTGTGTTTGGCCAGACCTCCGTGGTGTGCGTGTTTGGCTGGATAGTCTACGTGATATTCGGCACAGGCAGGAGAGTGGTTTCTTGATAAAGCCAGCGGGGGGAGAGATTGTTCTATTTATTTGCAGCTACATGTATTGTTTTGTACAAATCTCAAAGTTTACATATAGATGTTTTGAGCACGATACGTGTAAATGACTCATGAATTGTTCTTTGTGTTTCGCCATATTTGAAAGCTTTTTGTTCACTTTTTTGGAAATGTTAGGGGGGTAATATTGAGGAGTCATTCTTTTTGTCGTGCGTGAAGTTGTCAAAACCCCTTTATTTTTGTGAGTTGACAAACTTTTGTCAATTCTGATAAAACTGCCAACCAAAGATGTTTTTATATCATCTCTCATTTAAAAAATTTTATAATCGTCCACTTGACAGATCATAAACTTTTTTTTAGCAAGGTTAGAATTCACTTTTTTCACACTTGATATTGGCAATTTTTGTAATTGTTTTGAAATGGTGAATTGTGAAGAATTTTTTTTACATGATAAACAGAAAAATTCTGTTGACGAGGGATATTGTGCCGCTCTGCCTCAGGCTTCTTGTCCTGTGTCGTCCTTAACTGTCTTGTTTCTTGCATAGCTGCCAACCAGTGTGGAAAAAAAAAAAAATTCACTTAATAATTTTGGGGGAGTTTGAGTAAGGAAGTCCTTTTTTGTATTGGAAAATATGTTTTCCCTGTTTGCTAGTATTGTTTCTGGTGGACTCGCCGGTGCTGAAGAAAAACTGCAAACTTTCAAGACTGGATGTGGGAAGAATAATGAGAACGAAACCCATGTAAGTCGGTTGGAGGGATCTTTTGCTGCAGGCCTTCTTTGAATAGTTTGAGTTTATTGAACGCAGAAAAGTGTGTGTGAAGGGTTTGGGGGGGGGGGGGGGGGGGACTCATTACTTGGCTAATGCCCCACCATTTTGACCTGCGTGGGTAGTCTTGTGGGGGGGGGGGGGGGGGGGTTAAAAGTTGGCAGCTATGTTCATGCTTTGAATTTGGGTTCCACGGAGTACCCTCTTCTTTGGAAAAAACCTAGCGCTTTTCTCCGTCTTGTTCTGGCACCCGGTATCGGTAGTGTATGGGTTTGGCCATTTATCTGTTCCACGCTGGTGGGTTGGGGGCGGGTGCTCTGGTGTGGTTTGTTCCTTCTTTCCTATCAAAAATATCTGTCGTCCGTATCTCTCCTCCTTTTTTTGTGTTTGTTACTCTCTTGTAACACCTCTTATCTTCGGCACTTATATTAACTTATTGTGTTGCAAGTGCTGTAAAAACTCTTACTAAAACTAAAAGCTTCATGCTGAAGATGTGAGTTTGATTCCAGTTTGGGAAGGTTAATTTTACTGACTAATGCCGTCCGTGGGCTGGGATGCTGTATCTTGCTCAACTGGGGTTGGTCCCGACAGGCCGGGCTAAAGCGGCCTGTAAATGATGTAAATTGTGTTGATGGGGTTGCAGAACATTCGCTACCAACCTTGCACTGTTGCATTTATTTTTCAAGGGATAATTTTTTAGTCCCACAGAGATTGTGTAAATCAAAAACACTTTTGAGAAAATGGAGCTGTTGGGTCTGGGTTGTAGCTACAGCTGCCATATATAAAGGTAAGCTTTTTGAGATTTTTATCGAAGTGCCACGACAAATTTGTCAAAATGCATAAATTTCAATTGTTTTGAGATCCGGTAGTAATACCTTTTTCCTCCCCCCCTTTTTTTTTTTTAAAAGACATAAGTTGTATTTTTAGTTCTTCAGAGGACTTTGTTAAATGTTGTAAGTTTTTCAGTTTGCTCCTGTTTTAAAGAATTGTTGAAAACAAGTTCCTTTTCTGTTAAAAATAAGCTTGTGTATCAAAATCTTTTTAAAAGTTATTGTGGAGTAACAGTTTTCAAGTGGCCTGTAGATACAGTTTTCAGGCTGTGGACTGTTATACTTTAGTAGCTGAATTGAAAAGACTGGCGTACATCTCTGTCTTTGAAATTGCTGCCGTTTGCCAGTTGGTCTTGTCTTTGCTACTCTTGTCAGGTTCACTTAAAATATTGGCTTGTTTTTGGGATAGGAAAGGCTTCGAGTCCTTTGAGAGCCTGTTGATACCTTTTTTAAAAATCTTTTATGTCTTTATATGGTGGCCTTTCATCTGTTTTTTTTTTGGGGGGGGGGGGGGGGTGGTAGTATGTACAGTTTTGAGCTATGTTACATCAAAAGATACTACCCGTAAAGAAGGTGAATCTTTAGGATGTTCTGAGGAGTGCTTTGGATATAGCTTATCATCTCATTGCCTTTCGGACTGCGAGTTTTCCTGACAAGTGACAAGTTATTGTGGTGCTTTGACAAGTGATGCTTTTTGTTGGCTACATCACTCAGAAACTTTTGAAACTGTGGCCAAATAGTTTACTTTTGCTCATTTCGTGGAAAATGGTTGTTTATCGGGTCTTTTATTTTGCCTGTGCAGAATACTGTAGGCCTTCTGATATTAAACATTGTGTGACTTTCCTATGTTGTCTTCAACATTGCCTTTCTCACCAACAAACTTTCCACTTTTTTCCTTATCCTGGATGAGTTCCCTGACCTTACTTCAGTGTCGCAAGCAATCCACTTAAGTCTGTACGAGTACTTTTTGTATCAGAGACCAAAAAAAATATAGTTTTGGTTGTTTTGGTCCTTATTAGGGATCATGAAAAGCAAGAAAATTGTCAGCCTCTTTTATGTCCATAGAAAAACACATTTCCGTGGGAATTTTACTTAAAGACATTGATTAAAGGCACAAAATATGTCATTTTTCTGTTTTCAAGGACTCTTTAGCTATTGGAGTTACCAAATTTTGGCGCCCATTTTCTCGCTAATTTCACCATTGAAACCAGGCGACCCCACTTCCTTCAATCGCAAATATCTTGAGTTCTTTTAATCAAGATAGATGGGTATTTATTTCATTGGAAACAAGGCAAATGAACAGGCTTTAAGATGATACCAATAACCCCATATGCCCAAAAATGGATGAGCACCTGATTTCACCACGCTGCCTCACATATCATTAAACTGCACTTTGGTGATGTTGAAAGGGTGCGTCTTTTGTAGAGCTTTGAGAGGGTGTAAAAATAGGAAATGCTCCAAATTTGGATTCGAGTGGATTTTGTGCGACAGCGATGATTATTACATGTCTTTCCACTTTTCTGTACATCATTTTCTGTGACTCCAGGTTCCATGTGGCCTTCCCTTTGATCTCTTACCCTGTGGATCCCAATTCATGGATTCCCACTTTCTTTGTTATGCTTGTCTTTTTCTTGTTTGAGTGGAAGTGAAACTGACAGGGGAAAGAAGTGCACTTTCACAGTTTTATTCAGGGTAGCTTATTCATAGGTTATATATGTGGACAATTCTTGTGTCATATTATATCCAGCATCTTGACTGTCTTTTCGGGGGCTCTCCATTTGTTTAGATGGCATCGTGCTGGACTATTGAGCAGGTGCCCTGGTTCGAATGTCCGGCTGGGTGTTCTTGAACCCTGGGTTGTTTTATGGAGTTTTCAAGGCTCTCAACCCAGTAGGCTTAGTCTTACCAGAGGCAGACGTTAAATAGGGAGGTCTGACCTCTTAAATAATCAAAGTGTTGATAGAGGCATTAAACGCATACGCAAAAATACTGTCTTTTCTATTATTTCTTCAGATCAGGAAGGTTTCAATGCATTTCTACAAAAAGATGGTTGTCAACTTGTTGTGGGTTTTTTTCACTCACAGTTCATCCTGCCTTCTCATCCACTTTTTTTTATTTTTAAGACTGTTTATTGCCTTTAGCGTGAACACTGATTCAGTGAAAAATCTGTCCAATTATATAATGGCAGGGTGAAGTGTGGGAGACTCCCTTAAGCTGAGCGATGTACGATTTGTAATGAGATAAGAGGCAGTCTAGTTTACATTTTAACGTTTTGACAAAACATCATGTCCGTCCCCTTTATGTCTACTCTTTGGTTCAATTTGCTCTGCCGTTGCTAGTTTTGGAGCGTGAAGCTGTTGTCCTTTGTCATCAAAAAGAGATTTAATGTTGGGGTTATTGTACCATGGTTTCGTATAAATTGTGGGCCAAATACTCGAAACGAGTTTTTCCAGTTCTGTAAATCTTAATGCTGTTGTACAATGTAGGTAATAGTTAAAATGTTATTAAAGTTGGATTCATGCGATGTCAACTGTTTTCTTATGTGATTTGTGTCACGACGCGGTGGAATCAGGCGCTGGTCAATTTTGGGGCGTGTGGAGTTGTTGGTATCGTCTTAAAGCCTGTTCATTTGTCATCTTTCGGTGAAAAAAATGCCCATTTATCTTGAATAGAAGACGAGATATTTGAGATTTAAAAAGGTGGGGGTCACCAGGTTTCGGGGGTTAATAAATTAGCGAGAAGATGGCCGCCAAAGTCTGCTAACTTCAAAAGCTTGAGAGTCATTGAAAACTTGAAATTTAGTTATTTTGTGCCTTTTATGAAGTTTTTCAGTAAAATTCACACGTAAATTTGTTGTTACATTAACGTAAAAGGTTTTGAGCCTAAAAACAAAAATTTGATAAAAATCTCCAAACTGGCAGTAATGTGCCTATTTCTTCAATTTTATTATTTTGACGAGCGCCTGGTTTCTCCCTGATGCCTCACATATTTTTTTCACATTGCAGGCATCAGAATACTGTTTTTGTGTAGAGTGTCAGCTAGAATTGCATTTTGTCTTTCTTATGATTCATATATTTCTGTGTGTGTGCATGTGCGCATATACATAGGCTATAAGCCCTCAGTTTTGACATATTGTTGACTTGTGTTTATTTGAAGAGTCCTCGTCAAGACAGAAGGAAAAGTTGTGAATGTTGTGTGGGGCCAGTTGTTGGTGTTGAAGGGACCCACAGACTTGTTCTTTCTGTAGGTTGTTCAACTCCATTGATAAAGTACTGGCATATGACTGTGTTGGGACCAGTCCAGAGCTTATTACAAGGTATATCATCACTCACTTAACAATATCTGGACTGATTGATACCTTCTATGAGATTCGATATCATTTCATGTTCGTCTCACAAAGTCCAATCATGTTTTCATTTAGTTTTTGTGATGGCTAAAGGAGCACCTTAATGTTAAAGATTTGTAAGTGGGATGATTATGGCCATATCACTTTCACACTGTAAGGGTGTTGGTTATAGTTAACTTTCAGCAGTGCTTATTTCTTTCATTGTTAATCGCCTTACTTTTTTTTCTCCTCAAAATTTTGAAGGAGAATTTAATTTGGAACTATGTTTTTCAGTCAGCCCTGTTCATTTTGTAGCCGAGGGTGAGGGCTATATATAGGATGGAGGAAAAGATTCGGTTAGGGCAACTCCCAGTACAAGCCTATCAGTCATTCAAAGTATTGTAATATTGTTTTGTAATTTTTTCATCAACCCCTCTAAGAGTTGAAAACAAGTGGAATGTTCATCTTTGTTTGACTCTGTATTTAAGTGAGCCAGCCTACTCTAGTCATTGTCTCTTCTGCCGACCTTTCTCGTGATGTTTCGCGGCTGTAGGTTTTTAAAAAATTTGCTGTCAAATGAAGGGTTATAGGGTTGTTTTTTTCTCCAAATATAGTAACAAGAAGTTTTTGTTGAAAAAAAATGATGTTCTGTCTCTCTCACACTTTCATTAGAGTATCTGTTTGTTTGGTTTATACTGCAGAATGAAACAGACATAAGACATTTAATGTGGTGCTTTGGAAATTAATTTTCTTCAGACATTGGGGTTTTCTTTGGATTTTTTTGCTTGGACTTTATTTGGCTTGATGATGATATCTTCCTTTGAAAGAAATTTCCATAGCATCTCACCATGTGTCGTAGGTTTAGAATACATTATTTATATTTTAACATATCCATCATAGAG